ATGTGCACAGGTGGTGCTCTTAGTGGCTGCAGATGAGGGCATATCCTGTCAGAACCCCAAGGACAGGCCAGTACAGATGCCTGAATACTAACATCAGTGACCCACTTCTAATAGACCCTTATTAGCACATTCAGCTGTAAACTAATCATGGACCATTGATGAGCTTGTGCCATCAATGAGGTAAGTGCCATCATAAGCCAATCACCTCTCAACCGAGGCACTTGCTGGGGACCAAGTCTTTAACCTATGAGTCTTCAGAGATAGTTTATGTCCAAACCCTAATAGGACGGGAGAGAGAGGCTTTCTCTGTGTAAGCCTGGATCTGTAGCAGTGAGTGGCAACTTCTCAGGCTGCAATGCACCTGTCTATGGTTGATGCCTTCAAGGCACAGGTAACCACTTCCAGGGCCTCATATCTGCAGACTTACTGCACCTGTGAACTCCTGCCCACTCCCCAAATCAATCCGCTCACCTCGGCAGGCCAATCAGCATTGGGGACCCTTTGATGCCCTTTCTGTTCTGCAGGTGCCCGGGGCATCACCAGTAGTGGCCTGATCCCCTGGCTGGTAAATAAGCTGAATGCAGAGGAGGAACACATTCAGGAGATCATCTTGGACACTCTGGCACCATGCCTGCAGGAGGATGCCACTCAGGCTCTAGAAAGCCAGGCTGTGCCCTATTTTAAGAAGAAGCTCCTGAATGACAACCCTAGAATCCGCAGTAAGGCTGCTCGGGCACTCATTGCCATCAGGTGAGGTCTGTTTTGTGTTGACAGAGTGGTCACCTCATTGAATTTTTGCTGAGGGCCAGAGAAGGCCTCCAAACTCCTCCTGGCCTATCAGTAGACCAGCAGTGGGGCTTCACTTAGCCACATCTGCCAGCGAACCTAAGTTCATCCATTCAGGCATACTTCCTCTAACTTCCTTGTGCCCTGGGGGAAGAGGACACAGATTAGAAGAGTACCCTTTCCAACAGTGTGACCATGGTATCTGGCCCTAGATTGTCCCATATCCCAGGAAACTCTCTCTCACTCCCATCCTGGACAAAGCTAGCTAATTGGTCACTTCTTCATAAGGAAGACAAACAGGCGAACTCCAGTGATAGTGTTGATAGCCAGTGGTCATTAAGTGTGCAAGTATGCCAGGCACTGCCTCTAAAGTCAACGGTGGTTGACTGTTGAGGAAGGAGACATCTGCCTTTAGAGATGAGAAAATGGAAGGATGGGTCACCATCACTTGCTCAAGTTCACACAGGGTCAGTCTAAATCCTGGGCCTGAAAATGGGGGAAACACAGAACCTGCCAACAGTCAGTCCGGTGTCTCCCTTTGCCTGTACCCACATCCCCTCAGTTTGAGAAGTAGGGAAGGCCTTGCCATCCCTCAAATCCTGGTTTCCTTCTATCTGGGAGTCTTGCTAGAGGGCCAGGCTAGTATTTCCTGTGGGCCTGACCCAACCCCTGGGATGCTGGTTTGGAATGCTCATTATTTTGCATACTCTCAGAGCCACCCAAAACTATCCCTTTCAGGTCTTTGACCAGAGACCTCCATTCAATGAAGCTCTGACAACAGAACTGTACCAAAGCACAGCTTCTGCCCAGCCCCTCTGGCCTCCCTCATCAGCCTGTATCCATTACCACCCCTTACTATTTTCTGTCACTCCCATAGTGTGGGTTTGTTCTGTTTGCTGCTGGAGACTAGTGGCTAGATTACATGCTCCCAATGTCGAGTGCTGAGGCAGTTAAACTCAGCTCTTACCTCCTCATCTGGACTAGTACCTGCCTTGTGTCATCGAGTAAATGAGCTCAGGGTGGTCCTGCAGGTGGATCCAGGACTCTTTGTCCTTGATAAATTGCCCCAGGGTAAAGACTGATGGCCCAGAAAGCCAACAGCATCACGGTGTCACAGAGAAGTGGCCTCTGGATCTGTTTCCTAAACAGTGTTCCCATAAAATACCTATGCCTTTGAGGTGTTCATAGTTCTGCAAAATGAGAGCGCTGTGCGCCGTGAAGTACGGAATGGCGAGCAAGCGGTCAAGTTGAAGTCTGTGTGTTGGGATGTTTATGCACTGTGTGTGGCATTACCAGCCCGTGAGGAGGGTTTCCTAGCCAGGAAATGCTGGCACTCTCATGGTTGAGAAACTCTTGGGAAGTTCACCACCCTCATTTTCACAACTTCATACAATGCTGCAACAGAGCATGAGCCCAAAGTTACCTTGTCTAGGCCCATGCCTGTGGTTGCTCTGCGCTAAGCAGCTCACTGATGTGTGGAACAGCTTGGCTCTTCCCTGGTAATGCAACCAACTCAGCTAGAGACAGACGGTCTTGCTGTGGGTCACACCCTTGGGTCTTACTCTTCCACATAAATGGACATGTCTTCATTTATGAGCATGGCTTAGAGTGAAACTCATTTCCCTGGGCCTCTTTATCTTTTTCACTGGCAGCAAGCCACATGGCCAACACAGGTCCTGTATCTTAGCGAATGCCCTGGGACATTCCCAGGCCTTACCTCCTTTTATCCTCTCTGTGCCTTAGCATCCCTTTGGAGGGCAAGAACCAGGTGTGGCAGAATGGTGTCATTCCTATTCTGGTGGATCTCTTGTCAGATGTTGATGAGGAGGTACAGGCTAATGCAGCTGGTGCCCTGATGCATGCGACAGTGACCACTGAAGGTAAGAGAAGGGTGTCCTCTGGATTCCCAAGGCTGGGTGAGTGCAGGCAGGAGGGAAGAACAGGTCCCCTAGCTTGCCAGCATCCACAGTGAGCTTTCCAAATACTTCCTTCTCATGCCAAGGGCCAAGTATTGGACCTCCCAGACCTCTAGGCTCCATTAAAATCCCCTTTTGGCTTATCACTGAGGATCTTTTGAAGTCTGGTCCAAAGTTTAGACCTCTCTCATCTTTTCATACACAGTGGGCTGCCAGTGATTTCTCACCAGCTACTCACATTAGGACCTCTGCCCCTCTATCTCAAGCCATTCCCTTGGCCTAAAGACCTTGCCTCAGACTAAGGTCTCTTTGATCCACGAGACTGATTAGTTTGGTGTTTACAATTCTGTTATTCCTGGGTTGAAGCAGATCCTGGAGCCCTTGGCCTTATGTGTTTCTTTCTTTAAAAAATAATTTTGTTGTTTTTAGTGATGTGTAGGGTGTGTGCATGTGTGTGTGTGTGTGCGCGTGTGCGTGTGCGTGTGCGTGTGCGTGTGCGTGTGCGTGTGTGTGTGTGTGTGTGTGTTCAATCAATCATATGCCTCTTCCCCTGGAGCTAGAATAACAGGTGTTTGTGAGCTACCTGATGTGGGTGCTGGGAACAGAACTCAAGTGCTCTGGAAGAGCAGTACCATCCTTTTAGCCCCTGAGCCATCTTTCCATCCTCTGTTTGTGTTTCTTAGTCATAACGATTTTTATCAAGTTGTGGGATAGGGCACATAAGAATATAGATATATCTTCCCCCAGACTCCCCAGGTCAAGGATTCCCAGTCAACATACTTCAAGGCTAAGCCACCCAACCACCTGCTGAGGGAAGAGACCCAGGGTAGACTCCACGCCTGACAGACTAGATGTGGCATTTTCCTGTGTTGTCCCTCATACCTTCTGAAAGCCATCTGACCTTTCCGACTAGTCCACACTCACCTATGCCTGCCCTGTGCATGATGCTCTCTTTGTTTCCCAATGGCTCTGTAGGTCTTGGATTTATAATCAGTATGGCTCCCCACTGGACCCCAGGGAGAGTGGTTGGGGCTTTCTCAGAGTCTACAGCATCTTTCTATCGTTCATCCTCCCTGAGGGAATTCTGACTGCATGTGTAGGCTGTGCATCCCCAGTGTCTTCACTTTGGGGTACCTAAGCCCAAGCTTATGTGGGAGGAGTTGGAGGGCCAGGGGCCCATCAGGCCTTAGCCAGTGGCTAGAGACACAGAGGGCAGGACCTAGGGATATGCCACTCTTTCCCAGCTAGGTCTCTGAGTCCCTATCCTATGTCAGTCCCTGAGCTGGATGATAGAGCATTGAGGTCTTAGTCTTGGGTGTCTACAGTTGTCACAAAAAGGCAAAATGATGGAAGATGCAGAGAAGCCAGCATCCAGGCAATGGGGCGTAGGGCAGGTGCCCTGCCTCCTGTGAGAGTAGCTGGAGGACCCTGCCGCTAAGTTGTACCATGTACCTACTATGCATGTTTTGTGCAAGGTGCAGAGCAGGTTGCTCAAGAAATGCCTGCCACGTGAATATATAATTGATTTTCTTCCTTTAAAAATTACTGTGCATTTTGTCTTATGAAGGCTGATTGCAGGATAGGGGTAGGGTGGCATAGCTATGCTGGTTAGGGAACTGATCAGGCAGAGGACAAAACGGATCACCCAGGTTGGACTCAGTAGAACAATGCAGCAAGGATGGGGGGAAGAACAAGGTGGGCACAGGTGGTATTGCTCTTAAGATATCCCAGGTAACAGGAAATGGGGAGACAGTCCTTCTTGCGCAGATAACTGGGAAACCTAGTGTCTATGGCCCACAGGGAAATACGCAGCCCTGGATGCAAGTGCCATCAACCCACTCCTGGAGTTGCTCTGCTCCTCACCTATCAAGGTGTGTCTGAATGCCGCCAAAGCCCTCACCATGCTGGCCGAGGCCCCCGAAGGCCGCAAGTTACTGAGTTCCCATGTGTCTACCTTCCGTGTCCTCCTGATGCATGAAAACGAGGCCATACGACGAGCAGCCCAAGTAGCCATCAAAGTGATTGAGTGGAAGCCATGACTTCCCATTGGGGCAGACCCGATAGGCTGTCTCTAGGCCTTAATAAATGAGTTGAATCTACTGTGCCGGATTTGCAGTTCATGTTCAATGTCACAGCTCTCTCTCCTGCCAAAGAAGAAACACTAGACCCAGAAGGGCCTGGTTCTGGGAAACCCAGGTCCATCCCATGGTGTGGAGTGGGAGAAGGTAGCCCCAATACAAATATTTTCTGCTTGGATCTGAAGTCCTTATAGAAGATAAATAGCAGAACTGAGCCCTCCAGGGACAGGAGTGGGAGGCGGGGAGTTGGACTGGGGGTTGGAGGGTGTACAGTTGGACCAGGCACCAACCAAACTATGTATATTTGGCTGATAAGGCCCATGGGGGTACAGCTGAGCATGGCTTTGCTGAATACTTCCACCTATGCTTTTCCATACAGAGAGAGCAAGGGTACCCCATTAATATATGCTTATCTAGTCCTGTCTGAACTGTCAGGTTACAGATGCCCTGGTTTACAAGTGATCTAGTGTGTCCAGCCTCCACTGGAGGAGTGACAGGAATAGAGTGGAATTTCAAGGCTGAGCCCCTGGTCTGGGACTAAGCTGGACCCTTATCTTTCCCCAAGAGCCTGTTAAAGCTCCTACCTCACCAGTGAGAAGTGATTTTGAGAGGACTGCTCAGAGTAAATATTATCAAAACCAGAACCCCAAGAACCTGAGCAAGTCTTTCCCCACTGTCCTTTCAAGGACCCTCAGGGACCCTTATGGTTATCAAGAGAAACACAGAGAAGTGTGTGTCCTAGAATGAAAGGCTCGGCCCTTTTGTAATGAAGGGGACTGGCTGCTGTACCCAAGTGACATTTCAGGCGCGGTCCTATTTTCAAAAAGAGACTGCATAAAAAGAAACTACTCTCCTTCAGGAAAGCCGGGCCCTAGGCCCTCCATGGCCTCATGTTCTGATCCTGCCTCAATGCATGGCAAGCAGTCTCTTCTTGCCAGCCACAGGGTCCAGCCACAGTCAGCGATACTCTGCCACCAGAGCCCTGTGCATTTGGTCTCTACTCCAGAATCCTCTTTGGTGACATGGTCCCATGTACTGGTTTAGATGCAGACCTTTTCCCCCACATACTCCAATCTATATGGATGTGGGCCCTTCTCCCAGGTCCCTTGCTAGCTGGGTATGACTTCCTGTTTTCTTTGCTCAAAACAGTGTCTCTAGCCTCAGTCTATTTTAAGTGCTGGCCCTTATGTCCAACAGAAAGTCTACCCTTAAATGTCTCCAGGTAACAATGAACACCGGTTCTTCAGAAAACGTTTCAAAAAATACAGAAGGAAGGAGCATTTTTTTTAAACATGACTTTTTTTTTTTAATTGATTCTTTGGGAACTCCACATCTTGTACCTCAATCCCATCCATTTCCCAGTCCTTCCATGTTCACCCTCCACCTTTGTAGGTCCCCCCTGCCCTGTGCTGCCAAAAAGAAAAATAAAAACCATTTTGTTCCCCCATCTTTCAATAATCTTGCAATGAGTTGTTGGTCTGGTTCAAAACCTCTGGCTTCTGGTACGCCATCAATATAGGACCCTCCCTGAAATGTCTGCTCTTTCCCCAAGTCATGGAGATCCTGAAGCTATAGTTGTATAGGACTGATCTTTTCACTCGTTCAGCAGGTCATAGATAGGGTAGGCGTTGGTGTGGGCCAACTCAGAGCCCTGAATGGCAGCTGAGTTGGTCAGTCCCAGCCTCTTCTGGCTGTCCCACTCAGGCAAGGGTTAGGGCCAGCTCTCCTGTGACTGCACCATCGGGGGCCAGTTCTCCCAGGAGGAAGGTAGCCAGTGAGAGGCAGGACCAGTTTTCCAGTGCTCAGGCTAGCTCTCCCATGGCCCCTGGTAGTTACATGGGCCTCGGACATCAACACAGACATTGGCTGTAGTAGGACCACAGACCTAGACATGGCCCTCAGCCACAGCTCAGGCCCAGACATCACCATGGCCTCAGGCGGCAGGGCAGACGCTCAGATCAGTATGGCGCTGGAAGCAACATGGCCCTCAGCATGACCTCAGGTGGGTCATGGACATCTTTGCAGCCTTGGGTGGTGACATGGGCCCCTGGACATCAACCCAGACCCTGGCTGCTGTAGGGCCACAGGCCCAGACATGGCCCTCAGCAGCAGAGGCCGGAGCATCACATGGCCTCACTGTGGTCACATCTTCAGTTCCACCTCTCTCCACAGGGCACGAACCACTCTGCCTCTCCTTCTCTCCCATCTCCCCACCACATACCTGTTAATTGTCTTCCTACCTGTGTCTCCCGACCTGTCCTGCACACCTGTTGGAAGGGGCATTCTTTTACTCTACCATTGTCCTTACACCAGAAAGAAATCACAAGAAAACCATGGATCCACATGCCTTCTGAATAGAGACATGAAAAATGCAGCAAACAATAAGTGAAACAAATGTAACAACATAGTGAAAGGATTACATTATCAGGACCAAGTGCCATTTAAATATCCCAGGAAGGGACACGAAAAACCAGTCAAGGTACAAGAGTCAGAAAGATTATTCCGCAAAACCCAATATCCATTTGAGGTTAAAAACCAAACAAACACTGTTAGGACTCCTAACTTAGGGATCTCAGAATAGAGGAAAACCTCCTCTACGTAATACAGAACACCTGCAAAAATTCAACAGTTGGTATTATATTAACTACTTATTTCTTGAAATAAGGAACAAGACAAGGACCTATGTTTTTGTCACTCTGGTTCAGTGTTATCCTAGAGGTTCTAGCTAGGATATCCAGACTAGGAAGAAAAAGGGGGCATCCAGATTTTTTTAAATGAACAAACTATTTTTATTGATCAATTATACCATCACGATGAGAAAAACACTTTAAAACTATTAGAATTAACAGGTTCATCTTTGTGATGGCATCAATATACAATTAATTATATTTCTGTATGCTGGCTGTGAATAGCAAAATAAAACTAAGTTTTTTTTTACTTAGAGTAGCATGAAAAAGTAAGTTATAAGAAATATGTGCATGCTAGATTTTTTTCAACCCACGTTAGAGTCATCTGGGAAGAGGAACTTCAATTAAGAAAATGTCCTCACCAGACCCAGAACCAGATTGATCCATGGGGAGTAATCCTTTTTATTTTTTTTATTGATTGATGTGGGAGGATCCAGCTTTGGGATCAATTCCACCCCAATGCTGGTGGCCCTAGATGACATAAGGAATCAGGCTAAGTAAGCCATTATAAGCAAGCACCATTATTCAATGGCTTCTGATTCAGTTCCTGCCTGCAGGTTCCTGCTCTGAGGTTCAGTCATTCTTTTCCCTGGATGGGGACTAGAACCTGCAAGCTGAAACAAACTGTTTCCTCCCCAAATTGCTTTGGTCATGGAGTTTTAATCACAACAATAGAAACCCTAGGATAAAACCTAACAAAAGAAATGCAAGACCTAGGCACTGAAAATTCAGTATAGTTTCAAAGACCTTAAACACCTAAATAAATGGAAAGACATCCCACATTTGCAGATTAGAGACTTGGCAGTCACACCCTCATGCAGCTCATGCTAGGTGTTGGGAACGGAGCTCTTGTTTCCTTCCCCCAGGTTTGTTCTTTCTCCAGTGCAGCCTATTCTAGAATGGATGCAGCTTTCACCTGTATTTTCATGACAGTCACCCTGGCCCCTCTGTGATGGTTGGAACTGATTGTCAACAAGGTCTAGAAACACCTAGGAGGAACCCTATAGGTTCCTGCACACCTATGAAGGATCATCTGGAGTAGGTTAGCCTCTGGGCATGTCTGTGAAGGGTTATCTTGATTGGTTGAGTTGGATAGACCTACCTTGAAAGTGTGTTTGGTTGCATTCCCTGAGCTGGGCTGAATAAAAAGTAGAAATCTGGCTGACCATGGATATTGATCACTCTGCTTCTTGATTGTGGATGGAATGTCATCAGCTACCACAGCTACTTTTGCTATGGCTTTCAGGCTATGGTGGACCATAACCTTGAATTAGAAGTCAAAATAGACTCTCCCTGAAGTTGCTTTTTATTAGGTATCTTATCCCAGCAAACATGGAAAGTAGCCAAGATCCCCTCCACTCCAAAGTTCTTCTCTTCACCTTTGTACCAGTCTCCCAGAGGGTGTTCCTGCTTCACTTTCATCTCCCTGGCAGTGTCAGCAGATAGGATCTTATCACTTACCTGCTTTAACTCTAGAGGATTTAGGATTTCAAAGCATACAAGGACTCTGGTTGGGTTTGAAAATCTCTACCACCCATTGTCATTGTTTGGGCATCTTCAAATATGCCTTTCATTCTGGTCTCAAGCCTTCCAATGTCCCTTCTCTTATCAAATTGAATCCTCCTTCCAGGACTCTGGATCTGGGTGGGACACCATGCTGGGCATTCCTGTTTTGTGCAGGATTCCTAGTGTGTAAACCTGTGGACTTCTGCCTACCTCCTGCACTAGGTTCCTTTGCTGGAGCCTCATTGTTTCCCCTCGACAGTGTGCAATTAAGCGGCTCCTCTGCAAGGTGGTTCTATGCCTTGCAAGTGAAAAGGCACTTGATGGACATACAAACAGCATATGCAATATAAGCTATAGCCACCATTGTTGTTTTCTCCCTCCATAGGCTAGAAGGCCTCAGAGTAATTCCTATATGCTCTGTTCATAGCTATTTCTTTGGATATGGGAATAATGTACAACACAGTGATAGTGACACAGTACATAATCTGAACTGTCAGCTGGAGAATTAAGGAAAGGATGAAGGACTGGCTCTTTGAATATGCTTGATTTTCATGGTCTAGGGGTAGGCTTCCCTGAGATGCCTTCTTAAGGATTATGCCATTTCTTTTGGTCTAAAAAGGAAGAAGGAGAAGTTAGATAGTTCCAGCCAAGGAGTGCCTATACCTGATGGCTGGCTTAACATCCCACCTGGGAGAGCTCACAGCGAGAGTTTCCTTTCTCCAGAAATCAGAGTAGGAGACGCTACTAGTCAGTTGTGAATAGTGGGGA